CATACAGTATCATCATGTGGCCCAGGAGGGCATCTTACATCACACCACCGTTACTATAACATAGCATCTCAATGTTGAATCTATATTGAGTTCATACAAGCTCTGCATGACTTAAGAACATAAAAAAAAATATTTGTAGGAAAAACAGTTCTTCATTTTAAATATATGAGACGTAGGACTGCAAATTAATTGATTAATTAATTGTTATATTCCAAACCCAAATAGGCGTGTTTTCTCTTTACATACCATGTTATAAAACCAGAACATGGCAAATTCTCATATTTGAGAAGCTGGAAGTATTTTGGGGGCATTTTTTTGCTTTTCAAATAAGCTAAACAATGTTAAATGATATGTTTATCAAAAAGTTGCTGGAATTTTTTCTCTCAGTCAACTAATCAATAAATCAACTAGTTGTTTCATATCTGTGTGTCAGAAAAAATGGAGAAAGGTCCAGAAGGTTTTGCTAGCCTTTCAACAATGCCAAACATTTTTTTAAGGCCTACATCTTTTTAAAAGCCAGTCACCAATATATCCAAGAGTCAGCTGAATTAAGTTTAGGCAGCAGAGTTAAGATAGTTCTTTAATTAACAAATTTTGATTATAAATTATAAAAGTAGCCTAATTAATCACACAAAAAAGAAAGGAAAAGCCCAAAACCTTGCTTGTCTCAGCCCCTCAAATATGAATACTTTAAAGATTCCTCCAGTTTAAATAGTTGTAAGTGGAATATTATTGGGCTTTTAAAGTTTGGTCAGGAAAAAAGGAAAAGGTACTCTGAAGACCTACCCTTGGGCTCTGAACATTTTTGAGCATTTTTCACTATTTTCTCACATTTTTAGACAAAACAACAGACTAACAGATTATCAATATTGAAAACAACCGTTCATTGAACCCCAAAGAAATCAACAGTAAACTAACATGAAGTTTTCCCCTTCACAGATGGAAAAAATATCATCCAAAACTAGGCCAACTAAGGGCTGCAACTAACCACAGTCAAAATGAAATGTCAAAAACCCCACTACTATTTCCCAGAGCCCAAAGTGTTATCCTCAACTGTCTTCTTTTGTCAATAAACAATCCCAAACCCTAAGATATTTACGCAACTATCATATATGACAGGGAAAAGCAGAAAATCCTCACATTTTATAGGCTAGAACTGAAGTGGGTGGCATTTTGGGCTAAAAAGTGATATTTTAAGATTACTTTCATTTTGAAAAACCAATCAATTAATCGACTTATTATTTTAGCTCTTATATACTTTAGAAATTGTTGTTTAATTAAAGTTGCTGGACTGGCACAAAATATTTGGATTAAATCCCACACAAACTCACAACCAATAAACTATCTCCAGTATGCATTTACACCCACATGAATGCAAATGTAATTATGCAGAATTATGCAGGCATGCACTGTCACTTTTTCTGACTTAAACATGCACACAGATATCTCTCAGTCATTTCTGTCTGTTAACAAACTGCCCAGAGCAGCAGCCTTTATTTAGCCCAGCCATTAACAGACAACCACATCATAGATTTTGTCTTTATCCTCTAAATAAGGGTGCTGGCCCTCTCTCTATCTCTTTAATCCTGTCATTTATAATCCTTGTCTCTCTCCAAAATCCACTGAAGACTCAATGTGAATGATGGGAACACAGCCAAGCAAGCGTCAGACTGGTTTGTCTTATAACAGAAAATCTCTGTCTCTCACTCCTTTAATTATATATACAAACCTGTATTCTTTATGCTCGTATGCTTTGTACATAAACATGCAACCAGAGAGTTATTGGGAGTGTGCTTTCAGAGTATTTAGGTCAGCCTGCATGGACTGATGTCCCACTGTCCTGCTTTCACAGGTCTGTCAGACTGTTTACAGTGTTAGAAATATGTGGTGACAAAACCAAGTCCTGCTTAGGGAAAAAAAGAAAAGCCATGTATCTGATATATTTCAGTCACAATCCAACACAAGAGTTAACAAACGTTGACTGTTCAAACAAACTTGGAAAAAAAGGTTTTGCTGTGTGCTTGTTTCTTGTGGTTCGTCATTTCATTTTTTAATATTCCTTTAAATATCCATGAGCATCCTGGCTGATATTGAGGCATTCATGTAGACACAAAAAGTATTCTCATGCTAATAGGCTGACAAACCAACTGAAAAACTCAAATTACACGTTGTTTTCATGTTGTTAAGCACTTGAATGCCTCATTGTGTTTTGACCCAATTTAAATTCTAATTTAATCTTACAATAAATGTCAAGTAGTTTATAGACGGTTCATGCAACTCATTCGAGCATGCTGCACATGTTCTGACTAACAGGAAAGTTATGAAAGGCACTCAAGTGCAAACCCACGTTATTATTATTAGAGCAGACCAGTGACGAGAAGAGACAACAGGAGACATTAGACATGTCTAAACTCGCTCACAACAACTTCCGTATTCTGTACGTTAGTTATTTTCATCAACTTAAACCTCCGCCCACCAGCATTGGGGCTGCACTAGCCTGCTTTGGCATTCCAAGAATATAAAAAGCATAAATACATAATTCACGCTGCATAATTTAATTTCTGATATTTCCGTGTTGGAATGTCACGAGGAAGCGGGTCGGTGAATCTAGACCTGATAATCTTAATTGATCGGGCGTGTGGGCAGAACTACCCCCAAGCTCCATTAACAAATCTTGTATCTTTAAGTCGGCGCTGCTGTCAGCAAAGCCAGATACGTCACAGTAATAGAAGTAAGAGTTAAGCTAAATGACTAATGTATGGAGGTCAATTCGGCGTAGAAGATGTTCACTCAGCAACAACTTCATCCGAGAAATGACAGCGTCAAATGATGGTTCACACTGCTCGTCACGGTGTATTTTGGTGATGGAAGATGATGGCAATAACAGACGAACTAGCTTAAAAAGTTGTCTGTGTCAGCTGTAAATGGGACTGAAGAGTGCTACTGTGGATATAAGTGAGTCAAAAATGCTAAGAGTTATGAAAGCCACTATTTATCAGTTAGCGAGACGACATGTAATGGAGTTTGTCTACTCTCACTAACGTTAACGTTACAAGACAGGCGGAGAGTTGTTGCTAGCTTACGGCCAAAAGACAATGAAACTCGAATCATGCTTGTGAGAGCAAACGGACAACAGCTACGTAAGAAAACAACGGCTCGTCAGTGAAATTAAAAGTTCACCTTCTAATATGGAGAAAATATTTCACAACTTACCTGTTTAGTGCTTTCTGGTGGCCATTTACTCCCGAAAATTGTAAATCAGCTCGTAGCCGCCGCCACACCACCGCTAGATATGCCCAAGTTTTGCTCAAGTCCAAAAATGACACTTCCGAGGCTTTCGGGACAGCAGCCAATTACAGACAGGATCGTGTTGATCGACAAGGAAATGAGCCAATCGGATTGATATATACTGCGTTCTCCCCTCCCTCATCAGAAGACCTCCCATATCAAAGTGGAACTGATGAAATGAGTTAAAGTGTGTACAAATCTGGACCGTACTGTGATACATCATGTGGTTACTGTACACATTTAGAAGTATGGAGTGAATTTATGTACTTTATTTTTATTTTAAGTATTGGTTGAATTTTATTTCATTATGGTCATTGTTATTAAAATGTTATATATGTCATTATCACCATTTCACATATGTACTATTTAAGTTTATGTATCATAATTATTACATTTAAAATCCACAAGTACATTTTCCACGTGTGTTTGTACTTTTCCTTTTTTTCCAGTGTATTTTCTCATCCACTAATGGAAATTTTTATCCATCCAACATAATGACATTTTAAACGAAGCATCTTTCAATAGAACAAATATTAGTAGGCCTGTTTTGCATGCAGTGCTCTCATAATGGGCTTACCTTTATTTATACACTTTATGACTTCATGAGGTTGGTGCCAAACACAGAACATAGACCTACTTAAAATGTATACAGCCCAATAGCTCGGTGTTTTATTTATCATTGCATTAAATTTTATTTATACAGAATGTAGACCTCCAGCTGCCCCGGAAGAGACATGAAATCAACAGAAATCAAATTTGTAGGGTGAAGAGCTATTACCAGCGCTGCAACAATTGATATAAGTGATCAAATAAAGGTCAGTAATGCATATCACATTTTAGATGGAATATTCAAATAGTTTAGAACAATTCATCACAGAAAGATAAAAAGTAAAGTTCAATGAGTCAAGGCCAGTTGACAAGTTCCTGTCCCAGCTCAGGTCTCAGGTGGGAAAGTGAGCTCTATGGACTGACATCGCCCTCTATTGGAATGATGAATACAGCATGTGTGCAGGTCTGGTTAGATAAAGGCATCTAAAATTTTTGGCCAAACAAATCTGCTTCTCTCATCCCCCTAAAGATACTACAGGGGTCCCAGATTCTTAAAGATCAGTGTTTGATGGAGCAGAGACATACTTTCTTATCTCTACTCAGGAGTCAGGAGTCCAAGCTCAGAATGCAGAGCAGTTTTATTTAATTTGTTTGGGTTTTTTTTGGATATTTTCTAAATATCTAAATAGAAATAGTGTGTGGTAATAAAAGCAGGCAGTATATTCTATAGGTAGCCTCGATTGCACCTGAAGGGCGGAGGGCCCTCCCGGGCAGGAGCGCTTGCGCTGTCCTCCCAGCCATAGATGCGATAATGTTACACCTGATGGGACCTCTGACAAATAATTTCATATATCACATCCTATCAAGATATGAAGAAAACACCAGATTTGCACCTTAAGAACCAGCACAATACAAGCTGAACAATACAAGGGACAGCAGTGACCGAGGTCATTGCAGGTTTGGGCACCGTAGATCTAGCAGTGCATGGACTGGCTGAACGCGCGACGGGACACAGCTCTGCACAGCAAACTGCTGCTGTTGAAATCAGTGGCGCAGTTATTAGACGGGGCTCTTCGTCTGACTGGCCTGGGACAATCCCTCAGATTAGCGCTTGACCCACAGGATTTGTTTGAGAGGCACCTGCATTCACCGGGAGTGACACGCCGAGTGAGAACGGACAGAATGATCTAGATTTGTACTTATGTTCAACTGGAGCCTGTTCCACAAGCTTCTCTGTGTCTCATATATATGGATCGGATGCATTTTACGCACGCAAAACTCCAGGACGCAATACTTTAGAAGAGCTCTATCCAAGTGACCAAGTTGGAGCCATGGCACGTTTTACGCAGGGCGCGAATATGCTGATAGAAGTGTTTAAAACACTTTTTGGGGGAATCTGCAGTTCACATTAGTCATTTGAGATCCGATAATGTGTGATATTCCTGTTGCCGGTGGAAACGTCTAATCCCTCCCCTGATTACCGCGCACGGATGGATTGCGTCGTGTCGGCCAGCCGACTGACATCAAGGCCTTGTCAAAATATTTTAACCGCTATGCTTGCGTCCTGATTGCTGAATTGAAGCCACTCAGGACAGCCCAGCATCCCTTTGGACCCCATCCTCTCTGTGGTACCAAAATGAGGAGAGCTGTCCTGAAAGAAGCCGCCAAACGATTCCCCTGGTTGGCCAATGTCACTTTGTACGGGTGCTTATTCGCCGGCGGTGACCTGGTCCATCAGCTAATAGCTCAGAAGGAGCGCATCGACTGGAAACACACTCGCAACGTGGCCATTGTGGCTATCAGTTTTCAAGGAAACTTCAATTACTTTTGGCTACGAGCCCTGGAGAAGCGTTTCCCTGGAAAGTCCGCCGGGATGGTTTTCCGCAAACTCCTGCTGGACCAAAGCTTTGCGTCGCCTTTGGCCACCAGTGTCTTCTACACAGGTAAGATTGCCACATCTAATGCAAAGACAGTTTAGAGTTGGCTAATGCAAGGCAAAGTGCAGACACTCTTGGTCTCTGTTTGGGGCTGAGATGAATAGGCCTATCTGATGCCAAAAACATCCAGACATCTAAATCACTAACTCTTTTTGTCCTGTCACCAAACCATCAGGGCCGGCCCAAATATGTCTTATCAGTTAAAAACCTGTAAAATGTTCTGAATCTTTGTTCTCTTGCAACAATATGTATAACCTCAGGCCTCAGACAGATCAATAATGACATATCACACCTTGCAATCATTACAAACGTTAACACATACAATAGTGAGGTGATGAGGCTTCTTATTAAGGTCGTCTCTCAGTCAAGCATCATGTGGATCAAGGTGAGGAGTCATTACGCACGTTTTTAGATCGTGCGTGATGGCGCACATCACCTTAAACCTCTGCGTAAACGTCTCTTCTGTCCTGCAGGGGTGAGCTTCTTGGAGGGTAAGGAGGACGTATTAGAAGACTGGAGAGAGAAGTTCTTCAACACCTGGAAGGTAAGGAGGGCCTCGGCAGCATCAAGTAAAGGAAAGTTCCATTCACACATTGCTGCCAGCTCACAACCAGCTTAACCTAGATTGTCCCACTGCTGCTTTGGCGCATGGGCACGACGCAAACCGGGTAATTCAATCGAGACTACAGCCGTCGGATAAAAAAGTCAGCGAGTTTCAGGACGTTGAAATCCTGCCAATTGTAAATCACAGCGTCATGCTGCTGTAATTGCATAACTGGTGAATGTCAATGACAATTAAGAGTCCTAAAATCTCATTTCCCTTAGATGTATAAAAAGTTCCCAGATATGTGAAACATCTAGATACATCCTGCGTCAACAAATGTAGCCTATATGATTGTATTTTATTTGTCGTCAAAGAAAACGACATATTAGTTTTGTGACAGCCTACTTGTACTTTACGTGTGTGTATCCATTTTCTGCTACATTATAATTTTACCATTTGACAATTTATTGTATTTTACCAGTTACCTATTTATATACTACAGCTATGACGAGTTTATAAAACATGATGCATTTTGGGGGATTAAACTACCCTGCACTGTGACCTCATCCAGCTGCAACATTAAAATTAAATTGCTCCTTTCTTTAATTAATTAATCTGTGATTACATTCCAATATGTTAATTAACTCTGAAAGGTCTGCCTCTGTTGCATAATACATCTGTTATACATCTAATACATCTGTTGCATAATTTTTTTTATTAGAACAAGTTACATACTAGAGTTTGCTGATACAAATATAATTTTACTCATGATATGTTTTGGAAGCAGAACTATTATTTGCAGTATTAAATTGTGGTATTACTATTTTCACCTGAGTAGCCTTCTGATCTAGTGCTGAGCAATATGTAGACAATACCAAATATCACTAATATTGCAATGGTATTGTAGGGTTGACTATTAGTGCTTTAACAAAGTATATACACAATGATATTCTTGATTAATAATCATCAGTAATGTGGATATAGTGACTAAGTGGGTAAAGACGAATAATTAAACAGCTAGAATAATGTGGTAAATTCAGAAAATGACATCACTTTACTGTAATGTAGTCTTTTAAACCAGAAAGACTTACAAAATGACAGTATCTAAGATGACATCTAGTCTCATATCACAGTATTGATGTAATATCAATATATTGCTCAGCGCTAGTAGGATCTGAACACTTCTTCACCACTGCAGCACACAGCAGACTGTTCTTTTCACTGTAAAAAAAAAAAAAGAAAAAAAAAGGTAGCTCCGTCCTTCAAGGGGAAAGTACACAGTCCATTTCGACAACTTTGGGTCAGGTGTTTTTAGAGGGATGAGAAGGATCCGAGTATCTTCACTGCATATATAAACACAAATGTGATCCCCAAATATAATCATGTAAAGGCAGTAAATGGACAGATGTTGTGTACTGTAGCTCCTCTTAGTCTTCACTCATCGTAACATCTTTTCACTTTCAGACTGGACTCATGTACTGGCCATTCATGCAGGTAAACATGAGAAAAATTTTCTTGTTGTTTATATATTACATCAGTTTATGTTGTTAGTAGTTTTAACTTAAATCAAGGATTGTATTGTTGTGCTGTCTGTCTAAGGCTGTAACCAAAAGTAAGAGCATAATGTTGATGAGTATCTATAACATCCTATCCTTTTCTCAGTTTCTGAACTTTGTCCTGATGCCGTTGTACATGCGGACAGCCTTCATGGGCTGCTGCGCCTTCCTCTGGGCCACCTTCCTGTGCTTCTCCAGGCAAAGCGGTGATGGCACTGCCGGAGTGGCTCTGGCCTTCGTCATGGACCCCCGTAAGACCCTGGAGGAGATGCGAGAGGCCCGACTGGCCCGAAAAAAGCAAAAGGCCCAGAGGACAAACTAAACTTAGGATGAGGACGAGGATGCTTTTGTCTTTAAAGCCTTTGGTTACAGGACAGAGGGGTTTCCACTTTTGCTCAACCAGCAAACACAAATGGAAAGAACCACGGAAAGCTGAAGAGCTCAGGAGCAGGTTACTGGTTGGAAAATGAAAAACATCTATTTGTCATATACGCACAACAGTTGACTTAAAGACTTTGAAGGCTGTGAAGTTTAAATTGCAGATGTGTTGACATTTTCCTCCTGTGCTGAAGATTTGATATTTAATGTGCAAAAATTTTGTATTAATTCCCCAGAACTGGATTCTTTATGAAGTGGAAAAGCTTTTTTTTTTTAAAAAAGATAGCGAAAATACATGTGAAACAGATTAACAAGAATAAGAAAATCTAGGTTAATATCTGTGTGAAAAATGTTAATGGTCCTCTTTTTAAATGCCCAGTATACTAACGCTTTGGCTAAAACAAACACAAAAGCATTATCAGTACTGGAACTATAAATATTCAGTTTATCCTGATACTTGAGAAAAATCTTTAAAATCAAATGGGTTCATCCTCAGAAGAGCATGAAGGTGCTAAACACATTTTATAGTAAGATAGATTTGGAGATTTCTTGTATGGAAGTGGAGATTTTGTCCTAATGGAGGCACTAGACTAAAGGGCAAGAGGATTCCCTCTCAGGGGATCATGAATATTTTCAGCAAGTTTGGAGACATTTTGTTCTGTAGCAAAATGACAGGTGGAACAATAGAACAACACTGGAATTCACTTAAAGAAAGTAATGTCTGAAAGCCTGGCACATATTGTTTACAGTTGCAGTTATAATCAAATGATGATCTTGCCTCCAAACCACAGAGGTTTCAGCTGAAATGAGATTGGACCTATGGGCTCGTTACTTTAAAAGGCAGTTGTGTTGTGATGGAGGACTGTGGCTGGTTGTTGAGTTTGATGCGAGCCCACAGAGCAGTGAAGCTCCTGAGATCAGAGTTGAGGGCTCGATCTTTCTGTTTTACACTAGTTGTGCCTTCTTTCTTGCTGATAAGACCATCCTGGCCAGAGGTCTGCGAGCTTGCAGTGTGTGTCTGAGTGGTGATAGTCATTAGCAAAAATAATCAATACAATGCAATATGTGTATATATATTTTTTTGTGAGTGTACAATTTTAAATGGAGTTTCTGTGTTTATTTTGGGATGCACTGATGTGTTATGTCCTGAAAGCTCATCAAGATTCATCATCTGGGGAGGAAGAATGTGCTCAGTTATACAGTCAGGTCCATAATTATTTGGACAATGATACACTTGTCATCATTTTGGCTCTGTACACCACCACAATGGGTTTTAAATGAAACAATGAATACCTGCTTAAAGTGCAGACTCTCAGCTTTCATTTAAGGCTTTTTTCAAAAATGTAGTATGAACCGTGTAGGAATGACAACCATTTCTTCACACAGTCCCCCAACTTTAAGGGCTCATAAGTATTTGGACAAACTAACATAATCATCAATTAAACAGTCAGTTTTAATACTTGGTTGCAAATCCTTTACAGTCAATGACTGCCTAAAGTGTTGGACACATAGACATCATCAGATGCTGGGTTTCTTCCCTGGTGATGCTCTGCCAGCCCTTTACTGCAGCCGTCTGCACTTCCTGCTTGTGTTTTGGGTGTTTTGCCCTCAGTTTTAGCTTCAGCAAGAGAAACGCATGCTCAGTTGGATTCAGGTCAGATGATATGACTTGGCCATTGCAGAACATTCCACTTCTTTGCCTTAAAAATGTCTTTGGTTGCTTTTGCAATATGCTTCAGGTCAATGTCCATCTGCACTGTGAAGCATCGTCCAATGAGTTTTGAAGCATTTGGTTGAATCTGAGCAGATAATGGTGCCCCAAACACTTCAGCTTTCATCCTGCTGCTCTTCTCAGCAGTCACATCATCAATAAATACAAGAGAACCAGTTCCACTGGCAGCCATACATGGCCATGACATAACAGTACCTCCACCATGCTTCACTGATGAGGTGGTGTGCTTTGGATCATGAGCAGTTCCTTCCCTTCTTCCTTCTCTTGTCTTCCCATCATTCTGGTAGTTGATCTTTGTTTTATCTGTCCATAGTATGCTGTTCCACAACTGTACAGGCTTTTTAGATGGTTTTTGACAAACTCTAATCTGGCCTTCCATTTTTAAGGCTAACCAATGGTTTGCATCTTGTGATAAACCCTCGGTATTTATTCTAGTGAAGTCTTGTCTTGCTTACAAGAGCAGCAGGATGAAAGCTGAAGTGTTTGGGGCACCATTATCTGCTCAGATTCAACTAAATGCTTCAAAACTCATTGGATGATGCTTCACAGTGCAGATGGACATTGACCTGAAGCATATTGCAAAAGCAACCAAAGACATTTTTAAGGCAAAGAAGTGGAATGTTCTGCAATGGCCAAGTCATATCATCTGACCTGAATCCAACTGAGCATGCGTTTCTCTTGCTGAAGCCAAAACTGAGGGCAAAACACCCAAAACACAAGCAGGAAGTGCAGACGGCTGCAGTAAAGGGCTGGCAGAGCATCACCAGGGAAGAAACCCAGCATCTGATGATGTCTATGTGTCCAACACTTCAGGCAGTCATTGACTGTAAAGGATTTGCAACCAAGTATTAAAACTGACTGTTTAATTGATGATTATGTTAGTTTGTCCAAATACTTATGAGCCCTTAAAGTCGGGGGACTGTGTGAAGAAATGGTTGTAATTCCTACACGGTTCATACTACATTTTTGAAAAAAGCCTTAAATGAAAGCTGAGAGTCTGCACTTTAAGCAGGTATTCATTGTTTCATTTAAAACCCATTGTGGTGGTGTACAGAGCCAAAATGATGACAAGTGTATCATTGTCCAAATAATTATGGACCTGACTGTATGTCCATTAAAGTTTAAAAACTTCCTGATGATGGCAATAGAGAAAGGATAATCAAAAACATTAAATGAATCATGATTTTGTGCATGGTCCTTGCTTAATAAAGACTAATAATATAATATCTGCCACACATTGTATGGAAACATAGCCATCAGTTTATAAGATACCTTGTTATAATGCAAGTTAAACACAATAGTGGTGCTGGATGAAAGCCAGCTAGTCATAGTCTGACAATCATGAATATTAACAACAGTTTCATTTTAAGTATTTTTCTCATTGTCAACAAATCCCATGAAAAGACTCAAACCAAAATGTGTTAGTCCGTGTCTCAAGAATAAGACACGCATCTTTAAAAACATATACATTTTTGAAAAAAGGCTTAGTAATTTTCTGAAATAATAGGTCACTGTAGTTTTTATGCCTCCGCAATGGCGATAGCTGCGGCCAGAGACATTACATTTTTGGGTTGTCCTTCCAGTCTGTCTATCCATCTCATTCTTGTGAGCATGATATTTCAAAAGCAGTTTTTCAAATTGAACTGATTAGAATTTGGTGGTCAAAGGTCAAGGCTACCTTGACCTTGCATCCATCTCATTCTATTGAACGCGATATATCAAAAACACCTTTAGGGAATTTCTTCAAAGTTGGCACAAACGTCTATTTGGACTCAAGAATGAACTTATTCGAATTTGGTGGTCGAAGGTCAAGGTTACTGTGATCTACCGTCAATCTCATTTTGTGAACACGATATCTCAAGAGAGTCTTGAGGAAATTTCCTCAATTTTGGCACCAACATCCACTTGGATTGAACTAATTAGGATTTGGTCGTCAAAGGTCACTGTGATCTCACAAAACATGTTTTCGGCCATAACGTTGGAATTCATGCACTAATTATGACAACATTTCACTCAAATGTTTAGTAGGATTAAAAGTAGTGACATTTCATATCTAAAAGGTCAAAGGTCAGCTTCACTGTGACATTGTAATGCTCTGCAAAAAACACTTTTCTGGCTATTATTTAATGCCATAACTTGGGAGACATTTGGTGAGATACTGAATTTGTGACACGAATCTTGGTTGTCCACTTTGAAGCTGCACTGATTGTAGAGATCTTCTGTGCTGCTGGGGGAAAGATGTGTGTGAACCATCTATGTTTTCATAGACATGGATTCACGGAGGCACACAACTGCGAGGCGTTGGCAAATATATCTAGCAGGAGGAAAAAGTGCATTTGTTGGGGACTATTTTCAACAATGGATTAATCCATATTTAGTGCTCTAGTGAGTATTTGTAGCAGCAGGATGGAGTATATGAGAGTGAGTCAGAATAAACTACAATGTATCTGTGTTCATGGTAATGAAGGAACATGTCACCCAGTGCAACAGCGTTTTACTGGTGTGTTTTTAATTGTTTTTGAACAACAATGGAGCTCTATGACATAGAGGAGGAAGATATATCAGACTTTAATACCAAAATATTACATAATAGTGGGTCTTTTTGTGGGATTTGTTGATAACACTTCCAGTCAAAATCACAAATTTTGTGTTATTACCACAGGATATCTATCAGTGCATCCATTGTGTTGTGTTGTCTCCTAGTTTGACCTGTTAAGATACAGTATCTTAATCCTGTCCTCTTACTTGAAACATCACATAGGTTGCCATCAGCCCAGATACCTTATCATATAACACATCACTTACCCTAACGAGACCCATTACTCACTCTCATTTAGATTAAATAATATTTTAGCAAAGCTGAAATATATGTGACATTTATTATTATTTATCCATAAGACAGTAAAGAGAATTAAGGATTTCATTGCTGAATATACAGTACATTTATCATTGTACCAGAAGTGAAATACTATAATATTATACTTTCATGGATAAAATGTATTGTCAATTGCACTAGAGAGGAGCAAGTTTATACACACTTTTAGAGGTTTGGACACAGCCCTTCTGCAGGTAAGCTTTAAGTGAATAACAACATAGACCTTCTGTTTTTTGGATGTATAAAACAAAATTAAAACCTCAAAGAATGTTCAATATTGTTCCATGCTTTGTGTGTATGTCCACGTTATGATTTTGTGATGACTGGTTCACTACAGATTGTGACTACCTCTATTTTGTTACATTAGTGCTTTGGGATTTTTCAAGATAGGTCACTTTTTATGTCATTTTGACAAGGGACCTGAATAGACAAGAGTCAAATTCTTAATAGATTCTGTTGAGTGGATGGGATCATGTCATAATGAGATTTGATGGGGAAATTGTGTCACAGTTAAGCCATGAACAAAGAGCTTGTAGCACTATGAGGATGTTGAACCAACTCCTGGTGCAGATTAAGACTGATGGAAACAATGACACGTGAAATCAGAAAAGTGAAAGTCCAGAAGACTAAGAGTCTACAGTGTCACTGGTGTGTTGAGCTTAATACTAACATTATCATGCTAACATGCTCCCAGTGACAATGCTAACATGCTATTTAGCAGGTATAATGTTTACCATGTTCACCATCTTGGTCTAGCATATTAGCCTGATAACATATGTTAATTGGTAGTAAACACAAGTCCAGCTGGGGCTGATGGGCATGTCGTTAGTTGTGCAGGTATTTGGTCATAAATCAAAATCCTGGACACATTAACATTTTGATCTGATGACACTAGATGGAACCAAATTATTACATTGCACACAGGAGAACATAAATGTATGAACCAAATTTTATGGCAATCAAGAGTTCAGGCTGGGCCAAAGTGGTGGACTGATCCATAGAGCCATGCTAACTATAAACCTATAATGAGCATAATATAACAGTATATATAGTAGTTAGAATCACGTTCACATCAAACATCTATAGGCTAACATCAACATGCTGTTTAATAGTATAATATATAACAATTATACCAATATAACTTTTGCCTGCATAGTAAGTACTAAATGTTGCTCATACTTTTAATAAGTACATTTTCTAATTGTGAGACTCTTACTCATTATGGAAAATTTTCATATGATCGCATTGCGTCTTTAGGTTAAGGAGCTGAATACTTTTTCCACTACTGCTGTACAAAGACCTGGACAGAGCCAGGCTGCCCGTTCCTCCTTGTTTCCAGTCTTAAATGCTAAGCTAGGCTATCCACATCCTAACCCCAGCTCTGTCAAGACTTACTGAATACATGAAGCCTAGATATGAAGCAAGGACAGAGTGGATTGGAGTTTGTGCGAGTGTGTGTGTATAATAGCTTTATGCCCTAGTGATGGTGCATGTGGATTAACCAGGATCAGATAGGCCTGGTTAATCCCCCTGAAAAGGACACAGTTGACCTAGTGTGACCTCTGACCCCACCAACAGGAAGTGGAATTCCCCAATCAGATGCTGTCAGACTAAATC